TAAAACAAGTGTCCACCCACTATCCAACGGAGAAATCATTGCAAATAATAAACGAAGGTCTCCTACAAAAAAAAAGCCCACCATAAAACAATGAAAACATGCAACTCGAGTTTTTGGGATATAAATTCATGTTACACCGCCTACTTGTCTAAATATCCTACCAAATAATTGGGTTTGAGATCACGTGACAATTTAGAACAAATGGCGTTTGGTTAAGTTAAAATAGAACCGCTGTGACATACACACACAAGTGACATGACAGGGGAGATGTCCACAAAATGTCGTGTTCATCTCTCGACAATATTCCACGCTGATAAAACTTCGGGTGGAACCTTAATCCTTGAGGCGGAACGTTAATCCTTCAGGTGGAACCAAACCTACAAATCCTTTATGTGCAGATGAATGTATACAAATGTTATGTGTAGATCAACGCATAAAAATGTGTTCCCACCAGCCATAATCACCGAAGCATTCCCGAATGTTCCGCGGTAATGGTTTCTACACCCAGCCAAAACAAAGTGTCAGGAACCAGCATCACGTGATTGTTCAAGTGCCAGGGCCTCCACTTGATGCTGGGTACAAGATACACAAACCTAACGTTCCCTTACTAAAAACAGAACCAAATTTTAGATAAGTTTTATAATATAGTCGAAATTTATTTTTAGCTAACTTGATGCTGCCCAAACGAGTTTGAAGGTTGGCCAAAATAGTTTAAGGCTGGCCAAATAAGCTTAATGCTGGCCAAATGAGCTTAATGCAGGTAAAATGACATTGATGCCAAACGATTTCGATGTTGGCCAAAAGAGTTTGATGTTGGCCTAATGATTTCGATGCTGGCCAAATGATCTAAACGTCGGCCAAAATAGTTTAAGACTGCTGACCCAAACGAATTATATGTAGGCCAAAATAGTTTACTATTGGCCAAACTTGTTTATTGTAGGCCAAATGAATTTAAGACTCGCAAAACTTTTTTAATGTTGGCCAAACGAGTTTAAGGTTGGCCAAACGTGTTTAAAGTTGGCCAAACGAGTTCGATATTGGCCAAACGAGTTCGATATTGGCCAAACGAGCTAACAGCTGACCAAACGTGTTTAATGCTTGCCAACTGATCTAAAGGTTGGCCAAAAGAGTTTAATGTTGTCCAAACGTGTAAAAGACTGCCCAAACGAGCTAAAGATTGACCAAAACAGTTTAATGCTTGCCAAATTTTCTAAAGGTTGGCCAAACGTTTAAGGCTGACCCAAACGAATTATATGCGGTCCAAAAGAGTTTACTGATGGTCAAACATGTTTATGGTTGGTTAAACGTATTTAGGGTTTGCTCAACATGGTTAAGATTGGCTAAACGAGCTTAAAGCTGCCCAAACGAATAATATCTGGATCATAAGAGTTTACTGTTGTCCAAACTTGTTTAATGTAGGCCAAACGAATTTAAGGCTGTCCAAACGTGTTTAATGTTGACCAAACGTGTTTAAGGTTGGCCAAACGTGTTTTAGGTTGGCCAAACGTGTTTTAGGTTGGCCAAACATGTTTAAGGTTGAACTAACGTGTTTAATGTTGGCCAAACGAATTTAATGTTGGCGAAATGTCTTTAAGGTTGGCCAAATGTCTTTAAGATTGGCCAAACGTGTTTAAGGTAGGCCAAACAAGTGTAAGGTTGACCTAACGTGTTTAAGGTTGGCCAAACGTGTTTAATTTTGGCCAAACGTGTTTAAGGTTGGCATAAAGTTTTTAAGGTTGGCCAAACATGTTTAACGTTGGCCAAAAGTGTTTAAGGTTGGCCAAACGTGTTTAATAAGTTTGGCCAAACAAGTTTAAGGTTGGCCAAACGTGTTCACGTTTGGCCAAACAAGTTGAAGTTTGGCCAAACGTGTTTAAGGTTGGCCAAATGAGTTTAATGTTGGCGAAATGTCTTTAAGGTTGGCCAAATGTCTTTAAGGTTGACCAAACGTTTTTAATGTTAGCCAAACGTGTTTAAGGTTGACAAACGTGTTTAGTTCTGGCCAAACGTGTTTAAGGTTGGCCAATCGTGTTTAAGGTTGAACAAACATGTTTAATTCTGGCCCATCGTGTTTATTTCTGGCCAAATGTGTTTAAGGCTGGCCAAACAAGTTTAAGGTTGGCCAAACGTGTTTTATGTTGGCCAAACGTTTGTAAGGTTTGCCAAACGTGTTTAAGGTTTGCGAAACGTGTTTAAGGTTGGCCAAACAAGTTTAAGGTTTGCCAAACGTGTTTTAGGTTGGCCAAACGTGTTTTATGTTGGCCAAACGTTTGTAAGGTTTGCCAAACGTGTTTAAGGTTGGCGAAACGTGTTTAAGGTTGACCAAACAAGTTTAAGGTTTGCCAAACGTGTTTATGGTTAGCCAAATGAGTTTAATGTTGGCGAAATGTCTTAAAGGTTGGCCAAACGTATTTAATGTTGGCCAAATGTGTTTTAGGTTGGCCAAACGTGTTTAATTCTGGCCAAACGTGTTTAAGGTTGGCCAAACGAGTTTAAGGTTTGCCAAACGTGTTTAAGGTTAGCCAAACGTGTTTAATAAGGTTGGCCAAATAAGTTTAAGGTTGGCCAAACAAGTTTAAGGTTGGCCAAACGTGTTTACGTTTGGCCAAACAAGTTGAAGTTTGGCCAAACGTGTTTAAGGTTGGCCAAATGAGTTTAATGTTGGCGAAATGTCTTTAAGATTGGTCAAAGGTCTTTAAGGTTGACCAAACGTTTTTTTTTAATGTTGGCCAAACGTGTTTAAGGTTGACCAACGTGTTTAATTCTGGCCAAACGTGTTTAAGGTTGGACAATCGTGTTTTATGTTGGCCAAACAAGTTTAATGTTGCCCAAACGTATTTTATGTTGGCCAAACGTTTGTAAGGTTTGCCAAACGTGTTTAAGGTTGGCGAAACGTGTTTAAGATAGGCCAAACAACTGTGAGGTTAGCCTAACGTGTTTAAAGTTGGCCAAATGAGTTTAATGCAGGCCAAACAAGTTTGATGCTAGCCAAACGAGCTAAATGTGGTTAAATGAGTTTAATGCTGTCCAGAGTTTCTTCCAGGCATCTCTTAGCACTCCTCCCCCCCCCCCCCCCCCGAAAAAAGTCTACCACAGAACGAAATGGAATTTATATAGAACTTATTTACTTTTACTATTGTCGCCCCCCCCCCCCTCACCCCCAGAAAAAAGTCATACATGATTTTACAGGTCCACACAAACAAATAAATCATCAAGTTAACTTTTTTAGTAAAATTTTAAAGACAATTGTATGACTTTTTATTGACTGTAACATAATCGTCAGTTGGTCGTTTGTCACCCAATACAGTAAATTAGGATGTTAGCCAACTAACCCTCATCACATTAATATAGAATTTTTTATTTAGTGTCACACCAGTACTTTATAATTTTAACTAGATGAAACAATGTTTTGACAGTAATTTTTATGAATTTTCAAATTGGTGTAACTCGTTAATTGTGTCGCTGTTGATGTGTAACAAATACTAAGTATTAGATTACAATCATAGTTATATCTAGTTAACTGGTATCTATTTAAATATCAGGAAAAGTCTCACTGGCAAACAGGTTTAAACTTTGTTGTGAACATTATCTTAGTTAGGTAATCTATCGTTTTGGGTACGTAAAATCGCCCGCGGCTATTTATGTACGAAAACGTTACCTCATTGTCAAGGCTTTAATAGAAGTATATTGTCATACTTTTGTGTCAAATATTATAGATAAATGAATAATAAACCAAAATCAATGGCTAAATATATCGATATAGGCCAGAAATTAACTTTAAACAGCAGTGTCTGAGAGCAAGATTTGCTATATAAACAGCAGCCATTTGTAAAATAGAGTGGCTTCCCCCTGAATCTGGCGCTAAAAGCTTATAAAAATAAAACTTAGACAAGATGGCTGCTATAGTAAATGAGCATGGTTGCATCTGTTGGACACATCGCTAGTCTTCATTTATTACGGAAAAGTTTTAATTCAATTGTTTAAAAACAGGTACATAAATGAATCAAGGAAACATTTTTGAATTTTTTAAAACATAAATCCTCCTCAAAATGTGAAATAATTATTAAAATTTAAGGAGTCACCTGTTTTTCACATTACAAATCGCGGGCGATTTTACGTACCCAAAACGATAGATTACCCTTAGTTATTATATGGGTATGAGAGTATGTGTGTTGTGGAATGATTTGGATTACTAAAAGCTGGTAACAAAGTACAAAAGGATGTGACGTTTGAGAGTATGTTCTGATTTCTAGGGGAAATGGTTTAGATCAGTCTTTGTCATGTTGGTAAAGCTACTGGCATTAGACTAAAATACTATAAGATAAAACTGAAAGTGCAATTCAATTATAGAATCAGAATAACTGTTGAATAACTAACCTAATCAAAAAGGTTAATGACCAATGTGGAACACAACAAGTGCACATTTCTCTGCAGCATGTGAAACAGGTGTAGGGTCAAGGCAACATTACAACAGGTGCTTTATATTTTCAAAACATCCTTTTATTAGCCCTATTTTTTTTAAAGCTAATTCATTAACTAAAGTTTAGAAAAACCATCATTGAATTTTTTTTTAAAAGAAGCAAATTACTTATGTAAAAGATCACACAAATGTGAATAAAACCTTTATTGAAACTTACAAATTGCTGATTTTATTGTCTTTTTATTATAGTTACAGTGAATGTTTGTTGTTTATTTCTATGTTTGTAATTGGAAAATTTAGACAATTTTATCTCAAAAGTTTCAGTATATTAAAAAATATTTAAAAATTGGGCAACTTGTTCAGTTAAATGGCTTCCAGACAAAGGATGTGCATACTTGGGTATTCAGACCACGGCTATTCAGATATAGGGTCTTCAGACAAATGGCCTCAACATAAATGGTCTTCAGACTAAAGGTATTTAGACAAAGGATTTAACAAATGGCCTTCAGACAAAGTGTCTACAGACAAATGGCCTTCATACGAAGGTTCCAGGTAGAGCCCATTAAACAGATGTACTTACCTAACACACTGTAAGAATTAGCAGTAGAAAATAAATCCTCAGCGCCAGAAATTTTTGCCTGTCTTGCCATCCTGCTATCCTCGGCTATAGCATCTCCATCTGAAGTCCCACCATCAACACTCTCATCAAAGCTTGCCGTCCCCCTGCTCCCCCTCCCGTCCTCACCACATACATCCGAGGCTGGGAGAGAGGACGTTCGAAGAAATGATTTGATGTCGTTGCTGTGAGATTTTTGAAGTTGGAAAATTCTTTCTAGGGCAAGGTCCAAGTCCTGATTCAAAGCCAGGTGGGGCATTGACCGAGATGTTCCTAGTAGAGAAACAACAACTAGTCAGTAAGTCATGAACCCACTCAGTGAGGTATGTGCTCAAGTCATGAATCTACTCAGTGAGGTATGTGCTCAAGTCATGAACCCACTCAGTGAGGTATGTGCTCAAGTCATGAACCCACTCAGTGAGGTATGTGCTCAAGCCATGAACCCACTCAGTGAGGTATGTGCTCAAGTCATGAACCCACTCAGTGAGGTATGTGCTCAAGTCATGAACCCACTCAGTGAGGTATGTGCTCAAGTCATGGACCCACTCAGTTAGGTATGTGCTCAAGTCATGAACCCACTAAGTGAGGTATGTGCTCAAGTCATGAACCCACTCAGTGAGGTATGTGCTCAAGTCATGAACCCACTCAGTGAGGTATGTGCTCAAGTCATGAACCCACTCAGTGAGGTATGTGCTCATGAACCCACTCAGTGAGGTATGTGCTCATGAACCCACTCAGTTAGGTATGTGCTCAAGTCATGAACCCACTCAGTGAGGTATGTGCTCCAGTCATGAACCCACTCAATGAGGTATGTGCTCAAGTCATGAACCCACTCAATGAGGTATGTGCTCAAGTCATGAACCCACTCAGTGAGGTATGTGCTCAAGTCATGAACCCACTCAGTGAGGTATGTGCTCAAGCCATGAACCCACTCAGTGAGGTATGTGCTCCAGTCATGAACCCACTCAGTGAGGTATGTGCTCAAGTCATGAACCCACTCAGTGAGGTATGTGCTCAAGTCATGAACCCACTCAGTGAGGTATGTGCTCAAGTCATGAACCCACTCAGTGAGGTATGTGCTCAAGTCATGAACCCACTCAGTGAGGTATGTGCTCCAGTCATGAACCCACTCAGTGAGGTATGTGCTCAAGTCATGAACCCACTCAGTGAGGTATGTGCTCAAGTCATGAACCCACTCAATGAGGTATGTGCTCAAGTCATGAACCCACTCAGTGAGGTATGTGCTCAAGTCATGAACCCACTCAGTGAGGTATGTGCTCAAGTCATGGACCCACTCAGTGAGGTATGTGCTCAAGTCATGAACCCACTCAGTGAGGTATGTGCTCAAGTCATGAACCCACTCAGTGAGGTATGTGCTCAAGTCATGAACCCACTCAGTGAGGTATGTGCTCAAGTCATGAACCCACTCAGTGAGGTATGTGCTCAAGTCATGAACCCACTCAGTGAGGTATGTGCTCAAGTCATGAACCCACTCAGTGAGGTATGTGCTCAAGTCATGAACCCACTCAGTGAGGTATGTGCTCAAGTCATGAACCCACTCAGTGAGGTATGTGCTCAAGTCATGAACCCACTCAGTGAGGTATGTGCTCATGAACCCACTCAGTGAGGTATGTGCTCATGAACCCACTCAGTGAGGTATGTGCTCAAGTCATGAACCCACTCAGTGAGGTATGTGCTCAAGTCATGAACCCACTCAGTGAGGTATATGCTCAAGTCATGAACCCACTCAGTGAGGTATGTGCTCAAGCCATGAACCCACTCAGTGAGGTATGTGCTCAAGCCATGAACCCACTCAGTGAGATATGTGCTCAAGTCATGAACCCACTCAGTGAGGTATGTGCTCAAGTCATGAACCCACTCAGTGAGGTATGTGCTCAAATCATGAACCCACTCAGTGAGGTATATGCTCAAGTCATGAACCCACTCAGTGAGGTATGTGCTCAAGTCATGAACCCACTCAGTGAGGTATGTGCTCATGAACCCACTCAGTGAGGTATGTGCTCAAGTCATGAACCCACTCAGTGAGGTATGTGCTCAAGTCATGAACCCACTCAGTGAGGTATGTGCTCATGAACCCACTCAGTGAGGTATGTGCTCAAGTCATGAACCCACTCACTGAGGTATGTGCTCAAGTCATGAACCCACTCAGTGAGGTATTTGCTCAAGTCATGAACCCATTCAGTGAGGTATGTGCTCAAGTCATGGACCCACTCAGTGAGGTATGGCTCAAGCCATGAACCCACTCAGTGAGATATGTGCTCAAGTCATGGACCCACTCAGTGAGGTATGTGCTCATGAACCCACTCACTGAGGTATGTGCTCATGAACCCACTCAGTGAGGTATGTGCTCAAGTCATGAACCCACTCACTGAGGTATGTGCTCAAGTCAAGAACCCACTCAGTGAGGTATTGCTCAAGTCATGAACCCATTCAGTGAGGTATGTGCTCAAGTCATGGACCCACTCAGTGAGGTATGGCTCAAGCCATGAACCCACTCAGTGAGATATGTGCTCAAGTCATGGACCCACTCAGTGAGGTATGTGCTCATGAACCCACTCACTGAGGTATGTGCTCATGAACCCACTCAGTGAGGTATGTGCTCATGAACCCACTCAGTGAGGTATGTGCTCATGAACCCACTGGTATGTGCTCAAGTCATGGACCCACTCAGTGAGGTATGTGCTCAAGTCAAGAACCCACTCAGTGAGGTATGTGCTCAAGTCATGAACCCACTCACTGAGGTATGTGCTCATGAACCCACTCAGTGAGGTATGTGCTCAAGTCATGAACCCACTCACTGAGGTATGTGCTCATGAACCCACTCAGTGAGGTATGTGCTCAAGTCATGAACCCACTCAGTGAGGTATGTGCTCAAGTCATGAACCCACTCAGTGAGGTATGTGCTCAAGCCATGAACCCACTCAGTGAGGTATGTGCTCATGAACCCACTCAGTGAGGTATGTGCTCATGAACCCACTCAGTGAGGTATGTGCTCAAGTCATGAACCCACTCAGTGAGGTATGTGCTCAAGTCATGAACCCACTCATTGAGGTATGTGCTCATGAACCCACTCAGTGAGGTATGTGCTCAAGTCATGAACCCACTCAGTGAGGTATGTGCTCATGAACCCACTCACTGAGGTATGTGCTCATGAACCCACTCAGTGAGGTATGTGCTCAAGTCATGAACCCACTCAGTGAGGTATGTGCTCAAGTCATGAACCCACAGTGAAATATATCAGACTATCCTCTACCCTCAGCATGCATTAAGTTTTTACTACATTTCCTACAGCTGTTCCTTTTATTTGTTTAAGCTAAAAAATGCTCACCCTTAAGTAGATATATTAAACATCAGTTTTTTATATTGTACAATGATAAAAGTAAAAAAAGGCCAAGAGATATTGGAATAATTATCATTTATACAAGTAAAAACAGATTTTCCAACACAGCAGTAATGCTACACCTGTTCACTGAAACAGGTTTATTGATTTTTGTGCCAAGGTAGGTTTATACTTTACTCAACTTTCTGCTAAGATAGGTTTATAGCTTTCACTTTCCTGCTAAAGTAGCTTTATAGTTATCTCAACTGACGGACATAGGTTTATGGCTAATTCACTTTTTTGTTGACAGGTATCTCGTGTTTGCTGAGGTAATACTCACCTGTTTGCTGAGGTAGGTTTATAGTTAACTCACCTGTTTGCTGAGGTAGGTTTATAGTTAACTCACCTGTTTGCTGAAGTAGGTTTATAGTTAACTCACCTGTTTGCTGAGGTAGGTTTATAGTGACCTGTTTACTGAGGTAGGTTTATAGTTAACTCACCTGTTTGCTGAGGTAGGTTTATAGTTAACTCACCTGTTTGCTGAGGTAGGTTTATAGTGACCTGTTTACTGAGGTAGGTTTATAGTTAACTCACCTGTTTGCTGAGGTAGGTTTATAGTTAACTCACCTGTTTGCTGAGGTAGGTTTATAGTTAACTCACCTGTTTGCTGAGGTAGGTTTATAGTTAACTCACCTGTTAACTGAGGTAGGTTTATAGTTAACTCACCTGTTTGCTGAGGTAGGTTTATACTCTTTGGCCAGTCAGAGTTGTATTGCCTGTGCTGTATAAGGCGCTGAGCTTTAATCATTTCCTCGGTTTCTTTAAGGAAGCTTATTTCATTTTCTGTGTATAAAAAAAACACAGTATAGAGAGGGCAACTGGCTTTCTCCTGGTGATTACAGCAACCAGGAAGCTGATTGGGTTTTACAATGCACACAGCCAACAGTGGAAGCTTTCTCTAACATCCTGGGGTCAGCTGGGGGTGCTTTGATCAGCTGGTCAAGATGCCAGATTCTATTGAAAGTAATGCCGGTACAGATCTAACTGACACACTTAATTAATACAATCAAGAGATAGATCTCATTTATTTCGCAGTTAATACATTCAATGTTTAATTTACCCCCCCCCCTTCCCACTTCTGTGCTTATTTTGATTGCATAAGTCTATTAAATTATGTAATTGTATTAAAGTTTTTTTAAATTGCTTCAATTGATCCTAATTGCTTATTTACACAAATCTAGAAAAAAAAAGTTTCTAATTACAGTTAAAAACAACAAAGTATCAATATACACCATAGCATATAGAATGATGCACTGAGTTTAAGTTCTCAAGAGGGTTACATACAGATGCTTAAGGTATATGATAGCATTAAAGGTTTCTCTTTAAGTCTTCACATGCCTGCACCAAATGACATGTACAAGTATAATATGACATCACATGTCTGCACCACATGACATGTACAAGTATAATATGACATCAAGTGCTATCACCAGTTGGCATGTACAAGTATAATCTGTCATTACATGCCTGCACCAAATGACAAGTATACATATAATATGTCATTACATATCTGCCCTAAATGACAAGTAAAAGTATAATCTGTCATTACATGTCTGCACCAAATGACGTGTACAAGTATAATCTTTTTTTTTTCATCTTTGTACCAAATGACATGTACACATATAATCTGTCATCACATGCCTGCACCAAATGACATGTACAAATATAATATGTCATCACAGGCCTGCACCAAATGACATCTACAAGTATAATCTGTTTTTTTTTACTTTGTACCAAATGACATGTACACATATAATCTGTCATCACATGCCTGCACCAAATGACATGTACACATATCTGTCATTACATGCCTGCACCAAATGACATGTACACATATCTGTCATTACATGCCTGCACCAAATGACATGTACACATATAATCTGTCATCACATGCCTGCACCAAATGACATGTACACATATCTGTCATTACATGCCTGCACCAAATGACATGTACACATATCTGTCATTACATGCCTGCACCAAATGACAAGTACGAGTATAATCTGTCATTACATGTCTGCACCAAATGACATGTACACATATAATCTGTCATCACGTGCCAGCACCAAATGACATGTACACATATAACCTGTCGTCACGTGCCAGCACCAAATGACATGTACACATATCTGTCATTACATGCCTGCACCAAATGACATGTACACATATAATCTGTCGTCACGTGCCAGCACCAAATGACATGTACACATATCTGTCATCACGTGCCAGCACCAAATGACATGTACACATATCTGTCATCACATGCCTGCACCAAATGACATGTAATAATCCCATCTCAATAGGGCAAGCTGTAGGTCAAGGTCAGTAGCTAAGTTAACCCCCCCCCCCCCCCACCCCTTATGGTAGTTGTGCTGTTTGCTGGTCAGTGAGGAGGTCAATAACCGTTCTAATAGTTAGACTCAGCAGCCATAGCTCACAGCGGAGACGGTGAAAGCTCAATAACAAGGTTACACGAATCCTTGAGGAAAAACACACCAGTTTCATTACAAGCAAGCCATGAAGAAAACTCCAAGGCAAGCCAACTTTCTCAGATCTGTAATCGATCCTACTACTGGGTTCAATACCTTTCATTATTAAAGGGAACGCTTTGATCCGATCCCAAACAAAACACTTGGAAGATTAGAAGAGAAAACACATTTCAATGTCCAACTGGGAGCAGGTGTCTGGCAGGACCCGATTGGATCAGGCACAGGACCCAAGTGCATTAGGCACAAGATAGTGTCTTGTAGGACCCAAGTGCATTAGGCACAAGACAGTGTCTTGTAGGACCCAAGTTCATTAGGCACAAGACAGTGTCTTGTAGGACCCAAGTTCATTAGGCACAAGACAGTGTCTTGTAGGACCCAAGTTCATTAGGCACAAGACAGTGTCTTGTAGGACCCAAGTGCATTAGGCACAAGACAGTGCCTTGTAGGACCCAAGTTCATTAGGCACAAGACAGTGTCTTGTAGGACCCAAGTTTATTAGGCACAAGACAGTGTCTTGTAGGACCCAAGTTCATTAGGCACAAGACAGTGTCTTGTAGGACCCAAGTTCATTAGGCACAAGACAGTGCCTTGTAGGACCCAAGTTCATTAGGCACAAGACAGTGTCTTGTAGGACCCAAGTGCATTAGGCACAAGTCAGTGCCTTGTAGGACCCAAGTTCATTAGGCACAACACAGTGTCTTGTAGGACCCAAGTTCATTAGGCACAAGACAGTGTCTTGTAGGACCCAAGTTCATTAGGCACAAGACAGTGTCTTGTAGGACCCAAGTTCATTAGGCACAAGATAGTGTCTTGTAGGACCCAAGTTCATTAGGCACAAGACAGTGCCTTGTAGGACCCAAGTTCATTAGGCACAAGACAGTGTCTTGTAGGACCCAAGTGCATTAGGCACAAGACAGTGCCTTGTAGGACCCAAGTTCATTAGGCACAAGACAGAGCCTTGTAGGACCCAAGTTCATTAGGCACAAGACAGTGCCTTGTAGGACCCAAGTGCATTAGGCACAAGACAGTGCCTTGTAGGACCCAAGTGCATTAGGCACAAGACAGTGTCCTTGGATTCTGCCGAAGCAAAGAATTACGGAATAGGGTATGTGGGGGGGGGGGGAGGGGTTCAATCATCGCTGCGGGTGAGGGGCGGAATCACTCATCTTGATTAAACAGAAAGCAGTGAAATATCAACAAACACAAGCCTGAGAGGCTGGATGAGACCTAATCAAGGCCCATCTTGAGACGAAAATAACACGAATGTTACATTTCAGCGGCCGCGTCAACAAACGCCGCGGTACACGACAGACCGTCAGCCCCGTCCAAACTTCAACTTCTGCTAGAGGAAATCTGTGTCAACCTTCCGGGGGTCGGGGAAATAGTTGGAGACCCTCGCCCTCGACCACGGGGAAATAGTTGGAAGCACATCGGCCACAAAATATTGACTTAACGCGGGCGAAACGCGATGGTTGACCAAGTAAACTGATCAGACCAGTTGTAACCCAAGTCAAACTATCACCTGCAAACAACTTTCTAAACACTGGTTACGTGACTGCTAGCTCGAGCTTATGGTAGAAATAATGCTACCTTTTCATTTGTGCATTTCTATAGCATTAATGGTCTCCATATATTTTTAATGTGTGCAGAATGACGCAATATAGCCTACATAACTCTAGCGCTTCACACACTGTTGTAGTAACGATAGCCTTTACACTTCATACACACTGATGGAGTGAAGATGACTTTTACATTCCGTACACGCTAAAACAGTAAAGATGACTTTTACATTCCGTACACGCTAATACACTAAAGGTGACTTTTACATTCCGTACACGCTAAAACAGTAAAGATGACTTTTACACTCCGTACACGCTAATACACTAAAGATGACTTTTACATTCCGTACACGCTAATTCAGTGTACGTGGATGCACCAGCCTTAAACTGTGACTTAGGTACCGAGTCGGCGCTGACTGGCAGTCCGCTGCATGAAGATAAATGAGCGCCCTGAGTGTCATTTATTTGGATTTAACCTCTCTACCTTGTCACCCACAGAACGTGTTCCCTGCACTAGCCAGCACTTCACATTGATCGGAAGTCCAAATGATGAGTAATTAGCTGGGGTTTAAGCCTACATTTAGCGTACATGCGGGACATTCCCTTAGCGTTACTCTCTCGTTTAGCCCAACTCGGCGGGACAATTGTCCTATGTAGATCACTATAATTTACTGGGCCGTTCGGGTCCCACTGGACTGCTCAATAATATACAAGCTGTAGTGTACACGGCTCCCTGCCATACAAACTGTACGGCTCCCTGATATACAAGCGGTACACGGCTCCCTACCATACAAGCTGTACACGGCTCCCTGCCATACAAGCTGTACACGGCTCCCTGCCATACAAACTGTACTGCTCCATGCCATACAAACTGCACGGCTCCCTGATATACAAGCTGTACACGGCTCCATGCCATACAAACTGTACGGCTCTCTACCATACTAACTGTACTGCTCTCTGCCATACAAACTGTACGGCTCTCTACCATACTAACTGTACTGCTCTCTGCCATACAAACTGTACGGTTCTCTGCCATACAAACTGTACGGCTCTCTGCCATACAAACTGTACGGCTCCCTACCATACAAACTATACTGCTCCCTACCATACAAACTATACTGCCCCCTATCATACAAACTGTACTGCTTCTAAAAATCATCAGCAAATCTAAAACTCGTAAGCTGTTGAAAACAAACGGGCACTGGTCGAACAACTCCCACACTTTAGACACACACGTTGGTCGAACAACTCCCACACTTTAGACACACACGTTGGTCGAACAACTCCCACACTTTAGACACACACGTTGGTCGAACAACTCCCACACCTTAGACACACACGTTGGTCGAACAACTCCCACACTTTAGACACACACGTTGGTCGAACAACTCCCACACCTTAGACACACACGTTGGTCGAACAACTCCCACACTTTAGACACACACGTTGGTCTAACAACTCCCACACCTTAGACACACACGTTGGTCGAACAACTCCCACACTTTAGACACACACGTTGGTCGAACAACTCACACACCTTAGACACACACGTTGGTCGAACAACTCCCACACTTTAGACACACACGTTGGTCGAACAACTCCCACACCTTAGACACACACGTTGGTCGAGCAACTCCCACACTTTAGACACACACGTTGGTCGAACAACTCCCACACCTTAGACACACACGTTGGTCGAGCAACTCCCACACTTTAGACACACACGTTGGTCGAACAACCCCCACACTTTAGACACACACGTTGGTCGAACAACTCTCACACTTTAGACACACACGCTGGTCGAACAACCCCCACACTTTAGACACACACGTTGGTCGAGCAACTCCCACACTTTAGACACACACGTTGGTCGAACAACTCCCACACTTTAGACACACACGTTGGTCGAACAACTCCCACACTTTAGACACACACGTTGGTCGAGCAACTCCCACACTTTAGACACACACGTTGGTCGATCAACTCCCACACTTTAGACACACACGTTGGTCGAACAACCCCCACACTTTAGACACACACGTTGGTCGAGCAACTCCCACACTTTAGACACACACGTTGGTCGAACAACTCCCACACTTTAGACACACACGTTGGTCGAACAACTCCCACACTTTAGACACACACGTTGGTCTAACAACTCCCACACCTTAGACACACACGTTGGTCGAACAACTCCCACACTTTAGACACACACGTTGGTCTAACAACTCCCACACTTTAGACACACACGTTGGTCTAACAACTCCCACACTTTAGACACACACGTTGGTCTAACAACTCCCACACCTTAGACACACACGTTGGTCGAGCAACTCCCACACTTTAGACACACACGTTGGTCTAACAACTCCCACACTTTAGACACACACGTTGGTCTAACAACTCCCACACTTTAGACACACACGTTGGTCTAACAACTCCCACACTTTAGACACACACGTTGGTCGAACAACTCCCACACCTTAGACACACACGTTGGTCGAGCAACTCCCACACTTTAGACACACACGTTGGTCGAACAACTCCCACACTTTAGACACACACGTTGGTCGAACAACTCCCACACTTTAGACACACACGTTGGTCTAACAACTCCCACACCTTAGACACACACGTTGGTCGAACAACTCCCACACTTTAGACACACACGTTGGTCTAACAAATCCCACACTTTAGACACACACGTTGGTCGAACAACTCCCACACTTTAGACACACACGTTGGTCGAACAACTCCCACACTTTAGACACACACGTTGGTCTAACAACTCCCACACTTTAGACACACACGTTGGTCGAACAACTCCCACACTTTAGACACGCACGTTGGTCTAACAACTCCCACACTTTAGACACACACGTTGGTCTAACAACTCCCACACCTTAGACACACACGTTGGTCGAGCAACTCCCACACTTTAGACACACACGTTGGTCGAACAACTCCCACAATTTAGACACACACGTTGGTCTAACAACTCCCACACCTTAGACACACACGTTGGTCGAGCAACTCCCACACTTTAGACACACACGTTGGTCGAACAACTCCCACACCTTAGACACACACGTTGGTCGAACAACTCCCACACTTTAGACACACACGTTGGTCGAACAACTCCCACACTTTAGACACACACGTTGGTCGATCAACTCCCACACTTTAGACACACACGTTGGTCGAACAACTCCCACACCTTAGACACACACGTTGGTCGAGCAACTCCCACACTTTAGACACACACGTTGGTCGAACAACTCCCACACTTTAGACACACACGTTGGTCTAACAACTCCCACACTTTAGACACACACGTTGGTCGAGCAACTCCCACACTTTAGACACACACGTTGGTCGAACAACTCCCACACTTTAGACACACACGTTGGTCGAACAACTCCCACACTTTAGACACACACGTTGGTCTAACAACTCCCACACCTTAGACACACACGTTGGTCGAACAACTCCCACACTTTAGACACACACGTTGGTCGAACAACTCCCACACTTTAGACACACACGCTGGCGATGTGAGACGGACATTTACCGCTGTGTTTTAACGTGAGCAAACAGCACTAATTAGCCTGGTAATCATATTGGCTTGTCCATCACACGGGCTAATGAAACAATGGACGCGCCATGGCAGTGTCTATATTCTAAACGTGGCGCCACAAAAAGCCTGCTTAAAAACCTCATGGAAATACCAAAGGTCACGCCAGCTACGGCAGAACACTGGAAACTAATGCACCACAACACAACTAATGCACCACCAATTGATCGAGAATGGTTTCATTAAAATAGATTAACAGATAAGAACGTTTTATTCATATCAATAAAGGACTTGCATTTAGGAAGATTACTTTTAAAATGCAGCACTACTAAAGCAATGAGCTAGTTTAGTTTGGGTTTGTTGTTTTTTTAGTTGTTTTTTTTTTAATTTAATTCTATTTATTTTGTTCTTGTTGTTTATATTTTTTTATTTTTTTTTTGGGAGGGGAGGGGGAGACATTAATAACAGGGATGTCTAGCAAAATATCACAAAATAACAACGAGGTGTCTAGCAATTGTGGGGGGGGGGGGGGGAGTACTTACCAACAGTCCGGTCTAAACTAGGAGCATCTAGAAATGACGTCAGCGACGTTGTGCCATTACCATAGCTACGAAGAATAGCATTGTCCATCTCCACTACGTCTTGTTCCGTTGTGACCATGCCGTGAATATTGTACCTGGGAACATACAAACATACAGCCAGCGTAAGATATGTGCCAGGCATCTCACACACACAAAGGTTAGAAAATAAATCCCACATTTACAAGTATCCACAACAACTTGCTGAAAATCGTCCTGCAATCTGAACATTAATTCTTTACCACTGTCGTAGTCTTATATTTATGAACCTGACCTGCGTTGAACCCAATGAAACCCATTACATTAGTTTCTCGTCATCCGCCCCTCTTCATGTGCACAAACTGCGGCGTGGATTTGATCAGTCTCTAGCTACCCGAAACTTAAAAATTGAAATATCTTCTGAATTTCAAAGCTAATGAAGTGCGAGAAATTGGAAGAACAGTTGCGAAAGGTTTGTTCCATCCACATGGTGACATTCTCTGACTATCGAGACAGGTTAATGAAAAATCAATAGGGAAATGTTAAAGGCTGAGGGCATGTACGCCGACCCAGATGGTTAACTGAGCGAGTGGGGCGGGTGTACTGTAAGCCAGGGGGTGGCACCGTACAGTACTAAGGGAGGGGGAGGGTTATACAGTGGTTATAGTAGGGGGTGGTAGACCTAGACGGTGGTTGTAGTAGGGGGTGGTAGACCTAGACAGTGGTTGTAGTAAAGGGTTGTAGACCTAGACAGTGGTTGTAGTAAAGGGTGGTAGACCTAGACTGTGGTTGTAGCGGGGGGGGGGGGGGGGAGGAGGACATTAAGTAACTAGGAATTTAGTAACTGATCACAGAGTGGGAGAGTTCGAAAACATATATTATATATATATATATATATATATATATATATATATATATATATATATATATATATATATATAAAATATAGGCACTGTATATAAGCCCGTGTATCCTGTTTATAAGAATGAACTGACACAAACGTGTTGTGATATTTAATTTCTACCAGAATGTTGTCAATACAGATATCAACAAGTGTGTCCCAGTATAAGCTTTAGTGAAAACATCCTCAATCCAGATTTAACACAACACTTAAAACAATTTTGTTTAAACACAACGCAGAGTATTGATCTATCCTTGTATAAATGTTCAGATACAGATACACCAAAATATTCAATGATTTACTTGAACTACAATATACAAATACAATGTGTATTTATACTAGATACAATTTATAAACAGAAAATGTATTACTTACACCCCGTTTACAGTTGTGACATGTATACTATAGGCTTACAAGTTGTAAACAAAACTCACAGTAAGTAGACCTATACATTTTCCATGGTGAAAATGTTTCCCTATAACTATAACATTAACTTGTTGCGAGTTGTTTTTTTCCTAGACATGTATGGTATACTTGTCGAGAGTGTAAACGCGATGTTAAACGTTATCTACTACGATAAAGTTTATTATTACCTATATAAAATCAACACATTTCTTAACTTGTGACACTTAACAAATAATTGCAAAAAAAATATTTAAAATACATAATAACATCCAAATAAAAACTGTAGGCCTACTTACAAATATTTTCATAAGTCTCACTGTTTAGGAATAACAGAATACATAACTTCCCATACTGTCCCAGCCTTAGAGACTATTTTAAACCTTCACAATAAATAACGATAAATAACTTCCCATATTAGCCCAGCCTCGACTTCTCAACCAACCGTAGCTGCCTGCGTTCGGTTTGAAAAGGAGCATGACGTCATCGATTGCCACTCGTGTGACCTAACAAACTCCTCTAAAATTAGAAGTCTAATCACATGACCTCAGATTGATCTCCCGTGACTGCATGCATGTGTCCACGTATCGACGAGTGAGCCGTGTGGCAATCAGCAGGACCTCGACACGAGGGTATGTAACACTGAGGGGGGGGGGGGGGGGAGTTGTTCAATCAGCTGGCACCTGATCAATTTAAGGTGGGGGCGGTGGGACGGTCGCTGACGTCAAATTGCCTCCATGATTGGGGAAGAAGGGGAAGGACTCGTGGATTTAAAAAAATAAATCTCTGGTAATGTAATTGGTCGAATTCTCAAGGGGTAACGTGGCTCCAGACAAATACTCGCGAGGGGAAGTTACCTAATGGATGGAACAACTTTCTTAAGCTTGTGACTGGCATGCCCACATCCACATCAAGTACTCGATGATGATCAAAGTACGCAATACTCAGCATTACAGTTGGTGTACGTACTCTAGGTTTCATGGTCATGTCAAGTCTCCATAGCCGTGCAAGTACTCGATGATGATCAAAGTACGCAATACTCAGCATTACAGTTCGTGTACGTACTCTAGGTTTCATGGTCGTGTCAAGTCTCCATAGCCGTGCAAGTACTCGATGATGATCAAAGTACCCAATACTCAGCATTACAGTTGGTGTACGTACTCTAGGTTTCATGGTCGTGTCAAGTCTCCATAGGCGTGAAAATTGTACATAAATAGTTTAAAGTTGATGTAAATATCAAGTATCCAAGTTCATATCAAGTATCCATGTGCATATCAAGGATCCATGTGCATGTCAAGAATCCTTGTTCATATCAAATATCCATGTTCATTTCACCCCTGCTAACTAGCTGCACCATTAAGGTGCTAGTTATATCAATGCTTAAAGGGCAACAGCACTAGCCGTAAAGAAGAAACATTGATGAATTTAAGGCAGGAAGTTTTCTTTATTAAAATGTAATGCATGTCTTAATACATCCTTTATGCAGGAAGTTTTTTTTATTAGAATGTAATGCATGCCCTAATACATCCTTTATGGCAGGAAGTTTTCTTTATTACAATGTAATGCATGTCTTAATACATCCTTTATGGCAGGAAGTTTTCTTTATTACAATGTAATGCATGTCTTAATACATCCTTTATGGCAGGAAGTTTTCTTTATTAGAATGTAATGCATGCATTAATACATCCTTTATGGCAGGAAGTTTTCTTTATTAAAATGTAATGCATGTCTTAATACATCTTTTATGGCAGGAAGTTTTCTTTATTAAAATGTAATGCATGTCTTAATACATCCTCTATGCAAGCAAGTTTTCTTTATTAAAATGCAATGCATGTCTTAATACATCCTCTATGCAAACACTCACGCGCACATAATCAGAACGAGCGATGTTCATAAAAATATGACAGAAAAAAAACTTGAATCGATTCTTAATGCGCAATTGCACGGAGTAATCATTTTAATTAATTTAATATTTCACAAAGTGCAAAAACCAACTGTTCGCTAAAACAGCTAGGCTGATATTTTTTTAATAACCCGACTAATTGTGGTGGTTACAATATGTATCTGGGATAAGCAAAAGTTGAATTGTGTTGGTTACAATGTGACGATGTACATGAGATAACGAACAAAATGTGCATTTAAAAGTTAAAACCAATTTAATGAGCTTACTCTAATCGTGAGTTTAATTACTCTATTAGTTATCACAGGTGAAAGTTGAGGTAGCTAATGACGACACAAAGTGGGTGGGTATGGAGCAACGGAACAAGGGGGGGGGGGTGGCTACGACGACGACACATTTAGCCGGGAGGGGGGGGGGGACAGGTCAATACCTCGGGTTTTTTATCCACCTCTTCCAGGCTTGTTTCTTCCAGATGTGTTTGTTGTCGTGTTTGTTGCCGTGTTTGTTGCCATGTGTGCTGCCAGCCCGACCACGCCTCCTCCACAGAACAAGCACCACAAGGAAGGCTGTAGCCAGGACAAGCAGCAGTAGCAGCAGGGTAGCCACTGCTACACAGGCAGGGCTTAGTAGCACATCACAGCACAGGGTAGCCACTGCTACACAGGCAGGGCTTAGTAGCACATCACAGCACAGGGTAGCCACTGCTACACAGGCAGGGCTTAGTAGCACATCACAGCACAGGGTAGCCACGGCCACACAGGCAGGGTTTAGTAGCACATCACAGCACAGGGTAGCCACGGCCACACAGGCAGGGTTTAGTAGCACATCACAGCACAGGGTAGCCACGGCCACACAGGCAGGGTTTAGTAGCACATCACAGCACAGGGTAGCCACTGCTACACAGGCAGGGTTTAGTAGCACATCACAGCACAGGGTAGCCACGGCCACACAGGCAGGGCTTAGTAGCACATCACAGCACAGGGTAGCCACTGCTACACAGGCAGGGTTTAGTAGCACATCACAGCAGAGGGTAGCCACTGCTACACAGGCAGGGCTTAGAAGCACATCACAACACAGGGTAGCTACTGCTACACAGGCAGGGCGTAGCAGCTTTTTGCTGTTCAGATTGATGACAGCACCGGCTCCATTATGTACAGTCTAATCATGTTCATTAAATTCATGTTCATTTACTGTCGCTGGTTGTTTTGTTTTTTTTAAGTTTCAAAAGTGAAATAAGTGTGGCTCAAATCACCTCGATACACATTAAAAAAACGCATAAAACCAACTTACTCACTAAAACACATTAGACTCAAATCATACGCTTATGCAACTAGACCTGTATTCACGGAACAAGACATTGATTATAACGCACTCAAATACACAGGGGAAAAGGTATAACGCTTAAACCGCCTTGGGATAAGGGATTAAGCTTAATTTACCTATATACACTTGAAATCCACCAAAAAACAACTTTGAAAAAAGCCTTAAAGCTCAAGCCACCAAAAGAAAAAAGACCAACTCACCTCAACACAACACAGCAGACGTCATGTTACAATTTCAATCCACCACACGATCACTCGGCCCACCAACAACAACCCCCCAAAAAATGACAACATCACATTAATCAAACCAAAGTATGAAATGTAGGTCAACCGTCAAACGCCCTGACACTCACATGTTAGTTTGATCAAGAAAATAGTCCTGTTATTCCATCCGCTGATAGCCCGACCATTGTAGTGTAAGAGTACACTCGCGTCCACCTACCCAGAGTGCACTGGGGCCTGCAACAGGAAGACACGTAACGTGGAGAAGAAAGAAGGGAAAAAACCCTAGCCCGCCAGGCGTGACAAACCAATACACGAAATACTGGCGGCACGGCCCGTCTATTTTAAACGCGGCCTATATTTAATTAAGGG